TGAAAAACAGATGACAATTATTTATTATCGACAATATGAACTGCAAAGAGTGCAAACTTTCTTAAGGATCGCAGGTGAAGAGGTACATGCATTAAAGTTTTCACTTGAGTTTGATCACTAAAACGCTTTATCTGCCTCACAGTCCTCAATACGAAAAGCTGTCAACACGCTCGAGGAATGGCACATACAGTCAACAGCCCACTTTTTGGATGCTCGTTTTGGACATGCTAAAAAATTTGGACGTTTTCATGGCCCCATCACCAGCCTCGTAGACGTCGATGTATCAGAAGGTCTGAAATTTCTGACGCTGAAACTCATCAGCTTCTGATTTTTCCATCTTTCTGCCCGAACTGCAGCTAGGAAACAGTGTTAATTGAAGGCCCTTACTGCTGCTATGTCTGTCATGATGCAGGCCCGAACTAGCACTATTATCAGTCGATCTACTTGTGGCCATAGTAGTGCTGAAAGTGAGTGTTGTCAAAATGCCTGGGCGAAGCAGTCACCAGAGATCCTGAACCAAATGTGACCGGCCAGTTCTAATTCGATTTAGAGTCGACTCTCATTAATTCAAACTCAAAGGGCCCTCTGAATTTTGTATGAACTATCAAGAAGTTTGAATCATCTAATGTTCTCAGATAGATAAGTCTGAGTGAGGTGACACCACACATTATGATTAGGCATTGATTTTTATCACATTTGAAAATTTTTTAAGCATTTTCAAAAACTAACTGCACGCAATGAACAGAAAGCAGAGGAGTAAGGTCCACAAGTTTATTGGCCATTTACTGCTGATCAGACCTTTTAGGGAAATCATGAATTGCCAACTGCTTCTTTGCTATAGGTATATGCCTTGAGCACAAAGCTCTCTATACTAGTTGAGGAGCATGATGGTTTACCAGGCAGGGGCTTTGTTTCAAACATCTGTTTACCAGCAATGCCTTTTTCCTTGAAGGCCTGAGCTGTTTATTTTTCGTTTTTAGACTGTTAGAATAAGCATGCAAATTTTGAAATAGCAGTGGGAAAGAAGATATTTTCTGGTTTGTAACTGCAAAAAGTATAAATTAACCGAATCGTGGAGTTTGAATTAAGAGGCTTTTAAATGCATTGCAAGAATTGAGGGCCAACCAAAAAATTAAATTTTGTTTGAATTAACCGAAAGTATGAATTATCAAAGCTTAAATTATCGTGAGTCCAGTGTAGTTTATTTGACCCTTAATTTCTTTCATACAATATGCTGACAAATATCAGGTACAAATACAACAATTTCCGAACTAGATTCGGCAGATGTGCACACGAAAATGCTGAACGATATACGCCTGATGCTATGTGGAGGGCAACTCCTTGCGTTTATGTGTATGCCTGAGCCTGCATACTGTATACACTCGAGCAAGAGCCGCCCATCTTCTCCGTGAATATGATGGGGTGCGGCCCTTCCAGGGAAATGTGAAGTTTTTGTTCAATTTTCAATCCGCCCATGAAGAGACCTATATAATCGTGCCATATATACCTCACGATTCATGAATCCTATTGTCCTCAGTGCCGTCTACGACAATGGAAATCCTGATGACTTCAGCTCTCCACAATATTGTGCCGTCGCCCCTTACGTACGCCGCTAAACGCCCTGTACGAATGATGTGACGACACTGTCATATGCTGGCGATTTTTTCAGTATTTCTTTTTTAAAATTGGGACTGCCATCTTGGGGCGAGTGGCCCTTACACAAGCTTGGCCTTAAGTTGAGTGTATACGGTATTACATAGAATGACAAAAACTTCACGGGCAGAAAGGGTTTGAAGTTCCCTAAGCCCACCCCTTTAACTACACCTAGGTAAGCAGAGAGAATTTTTTTTAGCCTGGATAACCGTTACTGTAACAGTAGTGTGACTTCTTGGAAAATCAACCACACGGAAGCTGTTAGGTACAGGAATATGAATATTAGTGGAAAAGAAAAGAAAGAAATTGTCGGCCTCCAATTTACCATCAGCACAAAGCTACAAAAGAAATCAATACAGATTTCTTAGAAAGAAAGCATAATAACTGATCAGAAAAATGAAGAAAATCTTCGATTATGATCAATTTTTGACTCAAGAGAAATTTTTTTTTTTACTGGCATTTTGATGCAAAACAGACGCATGACAACTTCATTGCACTCACTGCTGTTGCTTGCTCCCGAAATGATCACAACTGGATGTATGTGAACCAAAATCTTTTTACAAAGAGATGGAATCAACACTGTGCTTTTAGGAGCATATTCTGGAGCAGACAGAATGCTGTTTAAGAGCAGCCATAAGTGCTCCCGGGCCAGAAAGAAAAAAAAGTTAATTTGGAGCAGCAATTGCTGTTTTCGGATAAAATGGTGGAAAAAAAATATTCTGCACGACTCCTGAAGTTTAAAGCGTCGTTTAGGCATTGTATAATGATTAATACTTATTAAAAATATTGAAAATATGGCAATCAGTGCTTATTGCAAGAAACACAACTAAGCAGTTGAATAGCTCACATGCGAAACAAGTACTTGTGGCAGAAGTTATGAAAGTAACCAGAATCACATGCAACCATGTGATCAAACGGTACAAGATCAAAGAAATCTGTTATTCCACACTTCACTGAATTGGCCTGCAATGAAAATTTACCGAAAATTCACAAGTGAGCTAGCCATACACCCAAAATGCCGATTGCGTAAATGAAGTCAAAGCTGATAGGGCAATAAATGCAAGTTACATGCCACATTCATAATATAGCAGCAACTGTTACTCATCAGTATGATATTATATATTAAACGAATATCTCACACTTTTCACCAGCATAGTCTGCTTTTCAGGTACATAAATATAGCTATATGGTATATATATATTGACAATGCCAGTATTCAGATAGTCTACAAGCGGCACACTAGGATGATAGTATACCGTATATACTCGTGTAAGGGCCGCCCTCGTGTAAGGGCCGCACCCCAACTTTGAAAGCGGATATTTCGAAAAAAAAAAAAACAAAAGTTCAAAATGTCCCGCCAGAAAAGTGTAGTTAGTTCATTTACAGCCAGATGGCGCTGCACGCTTTTCCGCTTTTATTCTACTTCCGCCGACGCGCCGACCACGCTGTTGACAGCGCGCCGCCATATTTGCCTTGTGCGGCCTCTTTGTTGGCATCGTTCCTAGCATCGTGTCGATACGTTGGCAGCGCGACTTCAGATCGGTGTCGTCGGTGTCACTTTGTTGGTTGTAGTGAACCCTGCAGAAGCCAGCGCACGTGACGGACGATGGGCCGGCATCTGAGATCATTCACTGCAGCATTTAAGCTGCAAGTGATTGACTATGCCGAGGAGCACGGGAAGCGGGAAGCTGGACGAAAGTACGACGTCGATGAGAAGCGCGTGCGTTACTGGATGAATCAGAAAGATGCCCTCGCCGCTACTAACAGGAGCCGAAAGGCGTTTCGCGGGAAAAAGTGCAAGTACCCGCAACTCGAAAGCGAGCTCGTCAACTACGTCGTCGACACACGAAGGGACGGCTACGCCGTATCGACTGACATGATACGCGTCAAAGCCCTCAGCATCGCTCGCCACATGGAAATACCCCCGGCACAATTCAAGGCAAGTCGGGGCTGGGCTACGCGGTTTATGAACCGTAACCAGCTTTCTATTCGGCGCCGAACGACGATTTGCCAAAAACTGCCGCGCGAGTACGAAGACCACGTCATTAAGTTTCATCGCTTCGTGAATGCTCTCAGGAGGGAGCATGAATACGACCTGTCCCAAATTGGGAATGCGGACCAGACACCTGTGTGGTTCGATGCACCGGAAAGCACCACAGTGGATTTAAAAGGTGCGAAAAGTGTGTCTGTGCGCACGACTGGTGCAGAACGCCAAAGGTGCACTGTGATGTTGTGCATCACGGCAGACGGCAGGAGGCTTCCGCCGTACGTCGTATTTAAAAGGAAGACTCTCCCAAAAGAGAAGTTCCCTCAGGGAATCGTCGTACGTGCGCAAGAGAAGGGCTGGATGTCCGAGGAACTGGTCGTTGACTGGATTAAGACCGTCTGGGCAAACAGACCTGGAGGGCTGTTACAACGGAAAGCCCTCCTTGTTTTGGACAGCTTTAGGGGCCACTTGACCGACCGCGTCAAGAACCGAGTTGCCGCAACTCGTACGGACTTGGCCGTCATTCCCGGTGGCCTGACGAGTGTGCTGCAGCCGCTCGACGTATGCGTCAACAGACCATTCAAAGTGGAATTTCGCCGATGTTACTCTGAATGGATGGCTGGAGGCGTCCACGAGAAGACCCCTACAGGACGGCTGAAGCGGGCGTCGCTCCAACAGGTGTGTGAATGGATTTTGAATGCGTGGCGTGCCATGTCAGTAGAAGTAGTTGCTAAAAGCTTCAAGGTAACGGGAATTTCGAACTCCATGAACGGCACCGAAGATGACCGTCTCTGGGAAGACGCGGACGCCGAGGCGAGCTCCTCCGAGAACGAGGACAGCGAAATGGAATCCGAATAAAAACATTTCTGGCATGTCATTTGTGACTCTTGCACTCTGCTACTGTTGCATAAACAGTACAGACCTTTGGCCTGTACTGCCTGTACTAAATCGGCCTGATTCGTGTAAGGGCCGCACCTAGCAAAATTTTCGAAAAAAAAGTGCGGCCCTTACACGAGTATATACGGTACACCTTCTTCTTTAGGCGCGCTTGATGATCACACAGTCAAAGTTCTTTTTTTTTTCAGTTTCCCAGTGCTATTTGGGAGCAGGTTTGGAGCAGTTTGGTACTCCCAAAAATTAATGTTTCGTGCCGCATGGAGTCCCATTTCGCTTTTGGAGCAGTCTGGAGCTGCACTTCCATCACTGGTTACAATGCTGGACATGTTAAGAATGATTAGAAATAACCAGCTGCTGACACTTGCGAACTCTAAAGACATTTCTTGGGGCAGCAAAAGGGTTAGAGAAAGCACTCGTGTGGCGGCAAGACCCTTTTCCCCCGAATGTCAAATGAGCCACTCACAGATGTTTCCGGTGTTGTCAAAGCCTTTGATGTCCTTGAGCGATATTCTGTCAGGCAGCGATCTTGCGGCAGCGAAGAGAAGCAGTGTTAGCGTGACGTTGGCGATGGCGTCAACAAAGCATTTTCAGCAAAAAAAAAAAAAAAACACGCAGGCAAGAATGAACATAGTTAAAGTAGCATGATGACATCGTGGATTATGACTTGAACTAGTACCTTAGCTCGTTACAATAAAATGTTATTTTTGTTACCGCATTACTAAATGACAGACAAGGCTAATCACACACGAGGTCATATTCTGGTTTCGCATGTGATAAATAAAGGCATATTTGGGCAAAAGTGATTTGCAAGATGACAACATGCAGCCCTAGGATGTGATGAAAGCATATTTTGCAAGCACAGCCATTGCTCTAACTTGCAATGTTACTGGTTATTGAAGATGACACTACTTTCTGACGAAAAAGCCGACATATACACTGCCTTGTCTACACATTCTACATTCAAGAACAGTGTCAAACGCCAAGAGAGTAAAAAGATAAGAGGAAGTGCACGACTTCTGCGGCACACAAGACAATATTTTCCGTGGGTCACATTTAGTCGATCTGTGTGATGGCTGCACCTGAAAAATGAGGTGTTAGCATTCCTACTTGTCACTATTGATGATAACAATGTCACCCTAGGGAATATATTAACAGAACTTGAGTGCTAGGGACATACGAGATAACGGAGTCTGCAAACAAGTTTCAAGAACTTCAGGCTCGCAATCGGTGCGACTATGACTAGTACGCAACAATCTCACATGATCGACCCCTTAGTCTCTCTAGGAATGCCATAGCACCATTTATCTATTTATTTATTGGTTGCCCTTAACGCCATTACAGTATTCCACAAGAACTCAAGTTCAGTGTTCACCGGAGTTCAAAGTTATCTGAAGTGTGGGCCAACACAAATATTGGTAAGATTCCCAATGCTACATTTCATTCAGGAGCACTGAAATAGAATGCATGATATGGGAGAACGTAACATCCGACAAAAGTTGCCCGAGACGAGTCTGACAAGGGCTTGTAGTTCAGAGCAAGAGTGTCGCGAAGATATTGTGAACGGGGACACTTGCCAATAAAGTTTAACCATTATTTAGGCTCTAATGATCAAAATTTTAGAACTTAGGCACATCTTACATGCCTTGAGGAAGTTATGCGAAAACAAGCTGCTCTGAGGTTTTCTTCGTTCATCTTTCAAATCTTCTCGGTGATACTGTATATATATATATACAGGCAGTTGTGTATGAATTTTCAATGCTTTATAGCTGCAGAGCCAGAACAGCCACATAAAATGCATGGAATATGCCTTCTCAGTAATTGCACGACTAGATGACAGATATATCCAGCCATCTCAAGGCTTTAAAGGGGCCCTGCAACACTTTTTCAAGTAGCCATGAAAATGGATTTAATAAAGGAGTTTATTGCCTCACGAAATCACTGCCACAAAAATATTTATAATCCGTCTGGTAAGAGGGGAACAATGTAATTGCATTCTCTCTTCTCTCATCCTGATAAAAACGCTAGAAGCTGAGCAGAAAGGCATAGCATAAGGAAAAAAAAAAAAAAAACGTCACGAGTGCCTCGTGAACTTGAGCAGTTTCTCTCTCTCTCTCTTTTTTTTTTTTTTCAAATGAGCAGCTTTTTAGTGCAACGACGCGCACACGCATGGAGCAGTCGTAGCCTCCCAAGGTGATCCTTGTAACGACAAGAACGGGCCATGTTAAAATCAGTCAAAGGCTGACACAACAGCTGCGACGAGTGATTTTTGGACTCTGACATTTGTCGGGAGAAGTAAAAGCAGTTCTTAGCTGACTGGAAATTGTTAATTCCAGGCCGCGTGCTGCGCTATGTTATCTGGCTTGCAGGTTCTCTAGATCCTCTATTACCGATTGGCAGCATTTTCTCACCATGCTCAAAAATGTTGTAGGGTCCCTTTAAGAGTTCAGACTGGGTCGACGCAGCACGATCCCAAACTGCATACCTCGATGTCACATTTACTTTTTTCACAGCTTTTACGACCTAAAAACATTCGCAGTACACAGGATTTTTATCAGTACTATAACTAGCATATACCACTGAATTTGCACGAAAAAAAAAAAAAATGGCATTAAACTTTCGACCCCACTTTTTACAGCATACGCCTCCTGTGGCAGATAAGCTTTCACCAGTTTAATTACATGCACACTACGGTTACTAATAAGTCAACGCATGAGATACGTGTCCACATGCAAGAGTTGAAAAGCATGCAACCGTAGAACGATGAGTGAGAGACCAGTTCGCTCACCGGATCCGAAGCTCGAACTCGGGTTCTTTGAGGCAGGTACATTCAAACCACACACCCTCTTCATTCTCGTCGGAGCGCCATCGTTCTAGCGGGCTGATCTGCAGCAGCCCGAACGCGCTGAATCTCCGCGTGGACCCGAAGAACAGGTCTGCCTGCGTTACTCTGCCTTCGTGAAGGGCCTGGCATCGAAATACAGGGCAAGCACTTGGACGGGGTCCACATTTGCAAATACACTTACAAACAGGAACACTTGGCCACAGACACGAGAAGTACCAAGAACATTTTGGCCGGTGCAACCGGGACAAGTGAGTTCCCTTGGGGAGGGGAGGAATGTTATCTGGCCTGGGTCAGCATTTTGGAGCTTGGACAGTGCAGGAAAAACAGTTTAGAAAAAGAGGCTGCTGCCCCCTCCCCCAGCTGGGAATGGAGGGGTTCATGTGAAGTGGCCGTTCAGTGGACTGGTGATACTTCAATCTATGTTACGTTACACAATGCCATGAAGCTTTTAATTCATAAATAAAATTTGTTTCAAAATAATGTACTATGTCTTAAGACGTGCCTTTTGAAAAAGATATTTTTGTTTCAACAGCACAAAATATCTTAAGTCAAGTTAATGTAAAATGCAATCTGAAGCTGAATAATTGTAAAAAAAATATCATTTGTGAAAACCACATGAGCTCTCCTAATTTAGAAACTGAAATATATTTGAAGTAGCGCTGTATGCAGTCTAAAGCTACATATTTAAGAATAAGGCCAATAGAAAATTTCATTTATGCAAATAATTATGCCTTGTAAGATTACATTGGAAGAAAAATGAGGTAAAACAAGTGCGGGCCCATTTCTATAATAGTAACAACCTAAACTTGCCCCTTCTTGATGTTCAGTAACGTGCATATTGTAATGGCTACCACAGTAGAACTTGTAGCTAGTTTACCTAGACAGCAAAAAGGTCTTAGCCACTTCTTGCTTATCATAGCTAGTTGTAGCCAGGACGAAAACACATTTACAGAACGAGCACAGCAACTTGGGGCGCAATGCAGCAGACGTGACCCAACACACTGAACTGGTCAGACAGTAAGTCAACACACAACAGCCAGATAGTATTAGGAAAAGAAAAAAAAAACGATACTTCACCTACACAATCATGATTCATTTATCTGTTCAGCTGCATATGCCAATGACATAACTATGCCTTGATCAACACTGCATAATCCGAAAAAATATACTTGGCGCTAATTAAAAATAAGCTAACTGAATATTCAACTGCTCTTTTTGAAACATTTACATTTCAGCCATCAATATACCCGACAAGAACCACAGTATTAAAAAAAATGTAGATTACTTCATAACGGCTCAGTGAGCTACCCTTAATGACGAAATTCGCAATGGTTGCAAAGAGCGGTATTGTTGAACACCCCACATTGCAATCGTTTGCAATCGCGCAAGTCGTAACACGGTCGCCCATTATAGCACGTACGCCGCTGTTCTTGCGACAGAGATATACAAAACGTTGCTTGCCATTGTCTACGCACGAACGCTTCTCGTTACTAGGCACGTGTGGCGCATCATTATATGGCGCGACAATCCTACAGCGCGCGCAATCGTGAAGTCAGCTTCCCGGCAACGCAAGAGCATCTACGATGCTCAAACTACGCTCCCTTTCTTCGGATCACCCCTTTTCTCCTCCCAACATTAACCTCCATTTTTTTTCCCCCGGGGTCACCGAGATCTCTCGCTTAAATGTTACTGTGTCAATGTGTCATGGTCGCACGCCGCGCGTTGCAAAACCCGGGCCGGCCGCTACCGTGCCTATGTTTGACGCGATGCCGCCGCGCAACATTCTGGTGCACGCCATGAAAATGCGATCGAACATCGGGGCCGATACGACGACATGACAAAAATATTCAGGCAGGTGCTCCGAGGAGAGAGACAATTTCTTCGAAACACACACGCTAGCTGCAGGCATCGACATTCCGCCACACTCTTTCAGGCGCGGATAAGACGAAGGACGCAGTAGCGGGAGAAGAGGACGAGGGAAACGACATTTCGCGCAGCGCACCTATCTGTAGATACATTTTGGCCCGGTCCCGCTCGCCTCTTATCTGTCCTTCCCTAATCGCCCGAGCGTCCCAACCGATCCCGGAGATAAGACGCAGCATCAAACGGCAAGCGAGGGGCAGATAGCAACCGACGCCGCTATCGACGCGCTAGGAGCACGCATATTCTAGCGATCCCGTGCAGCGGAGCTGCCGCATCCCCAAGAGCCTTGCACGCCGCGCGCATAGCTTGGCTCGCGAATGCTAAGCGCACAGGCGTTGCATGCGTGGACTCGCGTTCCGAGAGCACGGCCAGGGTTCGACTCACTTTTGCAAGCATTTTCCAGCGCATCTTGGCCATGGAGGAGCCGAATTTTCCTTTTGCCGAGCTGGGCTTGATGGATTTCTTTCGGATGTCCGCCGCCATCTTAGATCGGACACGGTTGCCCGACGCAAGCGCAGCTGCTCTTGTGAGCCGCTGAGAGTCTGTTCTGACAACTTGATCTGGCAACTGAATTAAAAGTGGTTTCGTTTTCGTGTCGAGTTTCGATATTGACGAAAGACTAGCTTGATGCGCGAACATTTAGGAAAATTCACCCTTCTCGTTTTTCTTGCAGAGTGATGGACACACTCTTTAGTAATACGACTCGGGTTAATTATTGCGAATGCGAATATCAAGGTTTGGGTCAGATTGCGGACTTGAAACACAATAATCATTTAAGTTGATTAGAATGCTCCACGTACTCATAACTTTTTTTTTTGGGGGGGTGGGGGGGGGCAAGCCTTCATGGCTATATATGTACGTAAAATGTTTTTAAAAACAGCAAAATGGTTAACATGTTCTTTTTTTTTTACAGATATTCGCGAAACGCCTGCTTTGCTCCGTATCTAGAAAACACACACACACACACACACACACACACACACACACACACACACACACACACACACACACACACACACACACACACACACACACACACGTGGTGAGACGACAAAGAAGAAACGGGACCGAAGCTTAACAACTTATGATGATTCGCTTTATCTATTCTAAGTATTCAAGGCATGACAGTGTCACTGAGCTGCGCAGGCGGGCATGCTTGCCGACCCTTGCAGCCCGTCCCCGTGTCTCTTCCTTAAAGTTTATTTTTCTTTTGTGTCACAACGGTTTAAACATAGATAAAGACAGCTATATAAAGCAGCCTAACCATCACTCCCTTCGTACCAACCACAATAAGTGCATCCGACCATTCATGTCACGCTGTGACACTTTTAATTATTCATTGTTCCCGTCAGCAGTGGAAGAGTGAAACAAATTGCCACGTGAATGCGTTAATCTTTCCTCTGAGATTCATTTGTTCGGAATGTAGAAACCTGTTTTATGAAGACTAAAAGCAACTTTTGTTTTTTGATGTTTGTGAGCGCTTCCGAACACACTGATCACTGTACCCCCTGCTGATACCACGATGTTTTGTGACCTGTCCATGATTTTGTACAATTGCTTTCATCGTTCAAGTTTTATTTTCACCATCATCTTGTGCTTCTGTCTCTTTCGCTATGTGCGATATTGCCTGGTTTGTACGCGACTGTATATTTGCCCGCCCACCCTGTATGAGCCTGAGAAAGGCTTACAGTATTAAATAAAATAAAACAAAATAAATAAATAAACTGAAACTTTGATAATCTAATCTGACAATTTTTAAACGTCAGCTGTTTCATCATAATAACGCATAGTTCAGACTTGGAAGTAAAGAATTCACAGTAATTGAGCTATATATAGTTTCTGTTCTAATGACGTAATGTGTGGCTTTTGCATACTGCACGGTGACATAGTAAATGTAATGAAGTTTTTTGAAGGAAGCTTGCACGATTTATTTCATTGCTTTTTTCGACTAAAATATAGCATAATTTATATGCACAAGCTCTTTTCTAATAAGGCGTAACAAATCGACCACGAGTGAAAAGAAAAATATACACGATAATCTTATCCACGTGCCACTTTATACATCAACCAATTTGTTTTATATATTCTGGTTTATCGCATTCTTCTGCACTTTTTCACGATTTTTAAAGGAACATTATTATTGTTCCTATCTAATTTAGCAAGCGCTGTAAAAAAATATTTATTATGAGGTACAGCGTGGCCAATCCCCCGTGTGGGTATGGGCCAAGATATCCTAGGCGACAAGACAAGACAACCGATGAACTCCAGCTTTGAAAGAACAGCGGCATCGCTAAGCAGTCTTAAGAACGGCCACATACTGTTCGTGTTCAACGCAGTTTCATGTTGTCCTTTAAATAAAGACACCTTTATGACGCTAGCTTCGAGTCACATCTCGGTGATGTGGCGAAACCCCTAGATATTTAAGCCTTGAACAAAATTTAAAAAGATACAAATTGTTCCAATTTTACCACCAAAAACCAAGATTTATGGAAGACAACGCGTAGTTGAGAACTCCGTACACTTTGGCTACCTGCAGGGGGTTCTTCATAAGGGCCTTATACAACACTTTTTTAGCATGGTCAGAAAACGCTGCCGATCGAGATTCAAGGCTCCTGAAAACACGCATGCCGAAAAATATTGCGCAGCACACACCCTCAAATTTATATTAAGTTCTGGAAGCCAGCTAAAGATCACTTTCTGTTCTCTCGACAAATGACGCTACAGGCTACCCGCCACGGTGGTCCAGTGGTTAAGGCACTCGGCTGCTGACCTGCAGGTCACGGGATCGAATCCTGGCCGTGGTGGCAGTATTTTAGATGAAGGAGAAAATGCTTGAGACCCGTGTGCATAGATTTAGGTGCACGTTAAAAAACCCCAGCTGGTCGGAATTTCCGAAGTCCTCCACTACGGCTTCTCTCATAATTATATAGTGGTTTTGGAACGTTAAACCCCCACAATTAATATTGACGCTACCAGCTGAAAAATCGCTGCGCCACAGGCAAAGTATGAGCCATTTGCTGATTTGAGCCTGCCCCGCCGTGGTGGTATGGTGGTTTTGGCGCTGTATGCCAACCCGAAGGTCGCGGACCGGATTCCAGCTGCGGCCGCAGCATTTTCAACGAATGCGGAAACGTGTGAGGCCTTGTGTTTAGATATAGGTGGACGTTGAAGGCCAACTCCAGTTGGTTGGTTGGTTGCGAAACTTTATTGAGGTCCTGCAAGACGCGCGTCAGCGCGCAGCGGGCGACTCCCACGTCGGGACCGTTAGGCCAAGCCTATCGGCCGCTCCGCGGGCCTGCTGGACGGCCCAAAGTTGGTCGGCCAGGAGGGAGTTGCGAAGGGCCGCCTCCCACGTGACCGATGTAGTGTTGGGGTTAGTGTACATTGCCTTGCACTCCCAGAGCATGTGCGCCAGCGTGGATACATCCCCACATTCGGGGCAAGCGTCATTGGGGAACACGTCAGGATAAATAGCGTGAAGGGATCTCAGGTTAGGGTACGTGTCGGTCTGCAGCAGTCTGACCGTAAGGGCCTGTGGCCTATTAAGATTTGGATGAGGGAGTGGATATAGTCTCCGCGCGAGGTAAAAATATTTTGTTATTTCGTTGTACGTGGCAGGTGCGTCCCTGTTTTCCGCAACCCCGTTGGCCCCGAATCGTTGCCCGGAACCCGCGCGGTCGGTAAGTGCGCGCGCGGCCTCGTGGGCAGACTCGTTGAGGTTGGGGGGAGCGCCTTGGACCTGTCCAACATGTGCAGGAAATCAAATCAGTACGTGGTGCTTGATGCCGTCGCGGCCACCACTTTGGAGCACGCGCAGGGCTTTCTTGGAGATTACACCGCGCTCTAAAGCGCGAATAGCTGACCTAGAGTCACTATAGATGACCTCCCTCTCACCTTCCAGGATGGCCAGGGCGATGGCCACTTGCTCGGCAACCGTCGGATCGTCAGTGTGAACCGATGCGCAGTTGGTGATTTGTTGTTTGGAGTCGACGACGACTGCGGAGAAGGCGCGGCTCCCACGGTACGCGACCGCGTCGACAAAGCTGACGCCGTGCTCCTCACTGTGAATCTGCTTGAGAAGAGTGGCAGCTCTAGCCCGTCGTCTACCACGATTGTGCTCGGGATGGACATTCCTCGGTATCGGTGCCACGGTGATGAGGTCACGAATCTCACGGGGCACCTATCTCATCTTCTCGTCCACTTCAGCCGGAGAGTGACCGAGCTCTCGGAGTATATGTCTGCCGATCTGGGAGCTCGAAAGGCGCGCAAGCTGGGCCCGCTCCTGCGCTTCGGCAATCTCCTCCAACGTATTGTGTACTCCGAGCTGGAGCAGGCGCTCGGTGCGCGTCCTGATCGGGATACCGAGGGCACGCTTGGTAATCTTTCTGAGCAAGACGTTGATCTTGTCACGCTCGGCACGCTGCCAATTGTGCATGGCCGCGACATATGAAAAGTGGCAGAGCACAAAGGCATTGACCAGGCGGATTAGGTTGTCTTCCTTGAGGCCTTGGTAGCGCTTGGCTACCCGCCGAACCAGCCGAACCGCGTTATCCGTCTTGGCGGCGAGCTTGAGTATAGTCTTGCCGTTGGAACCATTGGACTCGATGGTCATGCCGAGGACCCGAATGGAGTCAACTCTGGGTATTGCACTGCCATCTCCGGTGTAGAGCTTGATATCACTCTTCGAGATCGGCTGCCAGTTTTTGGGCTTGGGCCCTCGCCTAGTGGGTTGGTAAAGGAGAAGCTCGGACTTGCTTGGGGAACACCTCAGGCCTGTGGGACGGAGGTAATCTTCCGTGGTGTCTATGGCCTCCTGCAGAGAGCGCTCGACTTGCCCGTCGCTGCCACCTGTGCACCAAATGGTAATATCGTCCGCGTAAATTGTGTGGTTAATGCCTTCGATACATGAGAGCCTCTTGGGCAACCCGACCATGACAAGATTGAACAGGGTGGGCGATATCACTGACCCTTGTGGCGTGCCGCGCGATCCCAGCTCGATCTCCTCGGAGACAAGGTCTCCCACACTGAGGGTGGCTCTCCTACGGGTCAAGAACGATTTGACATATTTGTAGAATCTGACTCCAAGGCCGAGCTCAGCAATCGACCGCAACACGAAAGAGTGAGCAACATTGTCGAAGGCTTGCTCTAAGTCGAGGCCGAGAATGGCCCGTATGTCTCGAGTGTTGCAGTCGATGACTTGGTGCTTGAGCAGCTTCATAGCGTCTTGCGTAGAAAGCTTGGCCCGAAAACCAATCATGGTGTACGGGTAGAGCCCATTGCCTTCCAGGTACCGAGTCAACCTATTGAGGACCACATGCTCGGCTACCTTTCCCGCGCAGGATGTGAGCGAAATGGGGCGCATGTTGTCCAAGTTGGGTGACCTCCCCGGCTTAGGAATGAGCACGGTGAGCGCGACCTTCCACGGGTCGGGGACCTCGCCGCTCTTCCATGCCTCGTTGATGATCTCGGTGAGGTAGTCGATTGATCGGT